AGTGGTGGTTCCCTCCACCCTTCCCTCCCCAGCCAGGCTGGTGGTGGCCATGCCCCGTGGCGTGGGGGCTGCCTCCAGCGTCTCGTTGCCGTGCGGCATTCGCAGGTTGCCTGCAGCCAGTCCAGCCAGCAGTGAGAAGATGGCAAGAAGCCCCCACAGTGTTCCCTCCTGACAAAAAACACAGCACAGTAGGGTGAGACCTGACAGACACATCCCCAGACCAGGGACAAGGCTCCATGAGCTGGGGATGTGGTCCTGGCCATAGCAGCCAGCCAGTGCTGGGGCTCACCTTAGGCTGTGGGTACGTGGTGGGTCCGGCAGGTCTCAGCTCCGGTGGCCCCGCTCGCTGCTCCATGCTGGCTGCAAATGCAGAGGTGGGAGTCAGCACCCACACAGAGGGGATGAGGTGGGCATCGAGCTAGCCAGCTGGGAACTGGCACACCTCTCCCCTGCCAAGTATGCCATCACTTCCATCGCCCCCCAGAACCCTGCAACATCTGCACCCCATGCATGACCTTCCTACCATCTCCTCCCCATGCAGCCAGGCATGCTCACTACCTCATGCACCCTTTCCAAAAGACTGGGCAGATGGAGTGGTCCAGCCTTTGCCTGGCACCTCTCCTCAGGGGGATGCAGCTGTCTCCTTGTGTGAGCAGCCTGGGATGCCAGGCTGAGCCGTGAGGCAGCAGCTGGGGCTGGGAGCACCCCGGGGGGGGCCTTTCCCATGGCCCTTCCCTGGGAATGTTTTTCTTGCTCACAGTGGGAGCCTGACCTTGGAAACTCCAAATCCATTAGCACAGGATCCTTGGGTGCAACCACACCCCGGCCCCGCGCTGGGTCCGCAACCCACTGCCTGCACCGAGCTGGGCCGTACAGCGCGAGAGCAGCCCAAGCAGGTCCTGTGGGGACCTGGCAGGGTGTGGGGCACCACGCTGGGCTCGCTGTAGTCATTCTCCCTAACACCCCTGCCGGGCATCCACTGCCCTGACACACACAGGGGGAATTCGGTCCCTGCCGTGCATGGTCCCAGCAGAGCAATGAGCACAGTCTCAAGGGACTGATGTCCTGAGGGAGGTGCAGGGTCAGCTCCCAATCTACAGCCACACGTTGCAACTCCTTCCCCAGTTCTCCCAGAATGTAGGGACACTCCTGTGCCTCGGTGTCCCAAGCCAGGATGCTGGCCCATCTGTCACATCCCCTGTCTCTCACGACAGGACTGTTTCTTTGGAGCTCATCCTCTCCACGGCTTTGCACTCGCATGTCCCACGTGTTTCTGTAGCAAAGCTACGGAAAAAGCTGAGGAGAGTGCTCCTGGCCAAAAAAAAATGAAGGGGCAGGGCTGGGCACCGCTGGGACAAAAATTAGTTCCTCCACTGCCACCAGCGTTTCAGGGGATGGTTCCGAGGTCCCGATCGCCTCATCTGATGGCCCCCTGCATCGGCCACACCGCGGCAAGGGGCTGTGATGCACCAGGGGGCCATGCACCA